AATGCGGTTGCACGAGTGTGGATTCCCTCTCATAATGGGGATGTGGCTGTTCAAAATTAACCAATCACATTCACATTCAAGTTAAATGGGCGTCAACCTGATTAACCTCCAATACATTTCATGTTCAGTAGGCTTTTCCTGACATTTGTTTTGCATGGCTGACTCCCATTTAACATGAATTTGAACGTGATTGGTCAATTCTGAAGACAGCCAGATCCCAGTAATGACAGGGTGTGCACACTTGTGCAACCACATTCTTTCAATTCTTTAGTTTTACATCCTCCTCGAAAAAAAAAAAAAATTGTGTGTTGTACAGGTTCAAGGTCACATGTTTGAACACTGGTGCTAAATCAAAAATAGTTTGAAGCTGTTCCTTCATTTTATATGACTGCAAATGACAAGGTTAATTTGGTATGCTCTTAAATTTATTTGAGAAATCACTTCAGTATGTGAAGACAATTGAGATCCTGGCGATCATGTGAATTCATTTTGAGGGGTTTTCGGGCAAATAAACTTACTCAAAGCTCTTGAGTGGTCGGGGTTTCTGATTCCTCTGGCTCGTAGTCGTTGCAACAACACTGCGGACGACTGCTGCATTACCAAATAAACAGCCATGGAAAAACTCTGGCAAGAGACGTGAAAAAGGGGTCATGCTGAGGTGACTCACTTCCTCCTCAAAACATCTGTTTCACAACGTCTTTCCAATGTCCTTCTTACCCTCCCAATTTCCGAAGTCCACGATACAACAATTGTGTTGGGGACTGTAGTGGACAGTCGCACAAGGGAGGTTATGTTTATGGGGCGACTGGGTCTTTTTGGTTCAACTCCATTTTTGGTGGGGGGGAGATACCCCTGCACAAAAAAACATTTCTATGATTTCATGCTCTTCAGGGTGAGTAACACTTAAATAAACAAACGGCATCTGTGGATGGAGAATCTGAACTCACGGGGAGATTGCACGGCTTTCCGTTCACCTTCACGCACAGATTTGGAGGGAAATGATCTTCCTGGGGACAACTCGTCTCTGACAGACAAAACCTAGAAGACAACAACAAAAAATGGAAGCTACAGAGCAATGCTGGTGAATTGTTTTCTTCACAAGGGTGACCTACTTACTCACGGCCATCAAAGATCGGAGATGACATGGTCTTATCGCCTTTACCATTCCATTATTTCTTTCTAATCTCCTGCGACAACTCTCTTTTTTGCTTCCTCGAGTCAATGCTTATTGTGGAAAACACCAAGTCCCTCTGGTCAAATTATGGTATTTAAATCTTTTCGCCCAAATCAAAAGCAATTATTATTCTAGTTAATTTTCATTAGATTTTTTTTATGTATTATTACTTTTGTCAGATTGAAGATATTTTTGCTCTCACTGTTTTTTTTTTTTGCTTTCATTAACAGAGGGGTACCAACAATTTTGTCCATGTGTGTACAATACCATTCATCCGTGCAATTGGTCAACAGCAAGCTCATGTGAATTTTTGATTGGCTCTTAGATGTGTCGACATTGGTCACTAGTGATTCAAACTTTCAATTGCAGTAAAACCAGTGGCCCAAGGTTGCAAACCGTCCCACAATTCAGTCGGCGTTCAGCCATGTTACTCAGTGTGGGGCTGGCCAATGCAGGCCACGCTGCCATCTTTGTTCCGAAAACCAGACTCCTGGTTGCATAAAATGAATCTTCTTGTAATTGTTTCTTAATGAAAAGATACAACACTTCACTAGCTGGTTCGTACCTTAATTGGACTTGAACAGCAAAGTCACATTTGGTCCCCGATATGTCCCTGGAGGAAAAAAAAAAAAGAGAAAACAGCAAATGTTAAGTTTCTTTCCGTTCCGCCCTCATTGCGTCTTGTTGCTCATTGACAGTATTAACAAGAGCAAGAAGCGTGTTGCTTACATGGAGCTGCTGATCTGTTGAACTTGTAGCGGCGATAAAGCGAAGGCATAACAAGCTTCCTGGAAACGCTGACTGTTGTCGGAGGCTGCAATAAGCAAAGGTGACAATAGTTGGTGCAGTGGAAATTCTACAGACATCACCGAGCAGAAATATGTCAAGTCATAAACTCACTCAGACTGGTGGGCTTAATGAGCTCGTCGAGCACATCGTAGAATGGCAATCTCTGCAGTTTGACATCGGGGTGAACGGGGTGGAGGGCGGAGGGCAAGTGAGGCAGACTGAGCTCATGCTTGGGCCCGAGCAGTGAAACAGGCAACAGCGGCGAGGGGGAACCATGGCTGTCAAAAAGGCCCGCAGGAAGGCTGGAGGCGGAATGGACGCCGGGCAGAGCGAGATCCACCGGCGAAACCATTTTTGTTGGGAATCTCCGTCTGTAGAGCTCTTTAATCTTCATCTGCATGGCAGGGCTGCAGCCAGCCTTTACTAAGTGCAGCGCTTTGGTCAAAAGTTCGTGTTTGCGCCCGTGCTTATTCCGTCCAGCAAAACCCAACAAGACTTGCAGCTCTGAAACTCGAAGGCTCATTACCATTTGCTGGGGGAAAAGCAAGTCAAGTTAAGGAAAACATTCTCCTACACTTGCCAAAGAGAAAGAGATACTATATTAAAATCTGTAATATTACTGTCACAACTCTTACATTGAATTTGAAGAAAAAAAACACGTTTGTCTTTTTATAAGACTGGCAGAATGACAGCCTCACTTTGCAGGCTTTTAAATGTTTACACAGGAACCAACACAGCACTCTGAAGAGCCAAAACTAGAAAGACGTGGTTTCTTTTAGAAAGACTGAATCTACTTTCTCAAAGTTTTTAACTTCAACACATGCAACAATTAAGAACACACGCTGTATTGTGATAACAAGACTGGGACATTTGTTCTACCAATTTGTACTTAGCATAAACACCTAACATCTGACAATCTTGGTTTAGTTCAGAAAAAGCTACAGCGTTGGTTGTAACACGAAAACAGAACTTCACCTTAGCGTAGAAGTCATTCAATGTCACACATCATCTTGAAAAAATCTAAATCGAATATAGACTACATTTGGCTTTGCCTTCCTCACCCAAGTGTTTCAGTTGAGGTAAATTTACATTGCGTATCTGTGTGTGATCAGAAAAGATGAATTATGAACCAAATGCCAGAGGTAAAGTCAAGATGATTGCTTAACGGTTTGTGAATTTAAAGGAGCACTAATTCATTGCACCACTGTCATTTGTAGTCACAACACATTTGAAATTAGCGAGTTGAAGCGAGCTGTCAAAATTGCCAGTCAAATACATAACGCTGATCAAACACACGGAGGAATTTGAAAAAGTAAAAATATGCAGGTAGAAACAGTAATCTGTCAGGAGACGACGTTTATAACACACAAGCTAGCTAGGCTAACTAGCCGACTGATGGCGAGGAAATGAAAACATATTCAGCATTTCTACTTCGTCTTAAATTGAAGACCCTTACAAAATTTCTGCTAGCCAACATAATTTGGATGGCGATGTTTTCCCGTCATGAATCCACACAAATTACACAGAAACAACGCTACCTATGGCGAAGTGCAACTGGCTTCCAAGGAATAGACAGAGCCCGTTTTAATAAGATATAGCAATGTGGCTGCTTATCTTCGAGTAATGTCAGTGGGATCTGGCTGTCGTGCGTCTGTTTTGAAGGCGTTGGAGTTATTGTGGTCTCGTTTTCAGATTCGAGCAGGGATCTGCGTGCAATCTGCACGAGAACAGCACAGCACAAGATGACTAACGAATCGTCGGCAACAATAACAAAGCTAAGGCTAGCAGGCTAGTCAGCCAGCTAACAGTTTGTGTGGTGTCTGTCCTCTTCCTGTGGATGTACGGGGATTGATCAAATCGCCGTTGGCTGCATGATTGTCGACAGATGGTGTTTCCGTTATTTGAAATTCAAACGTGACAGTGCTAAGCGCCTATTTGTCAACCTAGTGGAGGGGCTCGCTTTACCTTCAGTTCCGTACTCTCCGCCATCTTGTGACATTGTGTACGCATGCGTAACAGCAGTCCTCGGGGGATGTGTCGCTTCTGCATAACGGACGACAGAGGGCGTAGTTGCTCCATTTAAATGAACCGCGCTGCGCCGCACATTCCATTCAAATTGTTGGTATGATTGTAGCTCTAAAAGTATACTACAAGTTAGTGTTAGATTTACTGGCAGTTTGTAGAAAATTCTGACAATAAAATGGTGAGTCCATCATGTTGTTAAAAAGTATATAGGCTAACTAAATTGAAGTTGGTCGAAGCAGTAAAAGAAAAAAAGTGGTCATTTCACCGAATCTGGTGCCATTTGCTTTTTGTAACTCTCTTAAAATACATTTAAATTTCCGTCTTTTTCAACTCTAAATCTAATAATACACATGAACTTCTGCTAATGTGTATTGACCCATCTTAGGCAATTTAATGTCGTTATTTTACTGTACTGAAAACCTTATTTGAATATTGACAGTATAGCAGGAGTGCGGCTTTATCTTAGATCAGCAAATAAATAAAACACTGGACAGCCACATCATCGCACACATGTTTTTATGCATGTAGTTTTAATATAAATTGGGGGGAAAAATAAGGAGCAACACAAATGTTTCAAAAATCGAACATTTTCAAGTACTGAAATTATTCTTTCATTGTAAAATGTAATTACGTTTTGTGTTTGGAATATTTCCTCCTCGGTTTACGATTGTGCATACGTAAATCGGAACGCAGTCATAATCATTAAAAATATCTGGAAAAACACGTGTACGCCATGGATAATGAAAAACGAAAACATTCTAAGGAAGGCAATTAAGTGGTAATTGAGCGCGCCTTCGTGCCACGTGACGACGTTACCTCGAAATGTCGTGTGACGGTACGTAGGACCCCATACGACATCATAAAATTTCAATCTTGAAACAACCAAGAGTGAAATAAGAAATTAAAACAAAAACACTTGGATTGATTAAATTCGTCAATATGTATACACAATAATGCTGTGTATGTATAATAATCCAAACGTGTTTTAATAAAACGATTTATTCACGGGGGTGGGGGTGTAAACAAATACCACATGAACAGTTGAATCGAATATGTGCTTTAAAAGACAAAGTCGTGGGCTTCACAACTTGTCTGCAAGTCTTCAAAAGTCACGTCTTCCGCAGCAAATAATTTTAATAGTCTTGTCATGGTTTCACTCATTTAAAGTGCATGATGTCCAAAATAAAGTCAGCGACCGGCCTGCGTGAGGACAATTAAGAACCACAAATGTAAGTAAAAAAAAAAAAAATCCACCAGACTTTATGAATAAGTTATCACTCAGAGAAATAACAACCTCTATTAACTATTACAACTTAGATTACATACATTATCATTGCACGTTGCCACAAATAATAAATATCAATGGTTTTCGTTGAAATCAAAGGAGAGCGTCACAAAATGCTGGACAGTACACATTTTGTTTTTTTAAATAAATATCACAACGACAAATGAGTCTATTCCTCACAGCGTCGAGTGGAAGTTTCCCCGCTGAGTTTGAGTCTTTGCGTGCGTCACGGTGGGAGCAGAGGAGACTTGAAGGTGCACGACCCCGTGCAGTGGCGAGGAGTTAACATCTTGCAGGAGAAATGGTGCAAGGCGTCGTGAGCTTCTGAGAAGAACGACAACCAACAATCAACCGTGTCCGTGTAAAAAAAATCGAAAACATGCGTGGATCTTTATATTTAAATCAGCGTGCGAAATGCGCAGCTCGGCTACAAACTCAATCGATGCAAGGAAATTGATGAATTGTGGTTCAAATAATTAAAAAATCACTTGGATTAATCGGGATCCTCGATTTACGACGGAATTATGTTCTTGCGATGATGGCGACGTCCCCAGTTTTTTACGTAAATCGGAGCTCGCCGGTGAGTAACTAACTAATAAAGTCACCCATCTTTTTCTACACACAAAAAAAAAACGAAGTACGGTGGTAACCGAGCGTGGCTTTCTCTGACTATGCTGCAAAATATTGCTCGCCGTTCGTATCCTCGTATGTCAGGACCATCGTGAATGGAGGACGCCCGGTACTGGATTATTTTATTTTTCTCACCTCTGACGATGTGCAGCTGCTGGACCATCTCCTCCCTGTAGGATAGTTCTCTTTTCATTTGATCCTGGAAGTTATCTGAAGATGTTGGGAGGAGGGGGGGGCGGGGGGGTGCACATTGATTTATAGCCAAAAAGGGGACGCGGTTTGTAAAACGAAACTATTTAAGGAAGTAAAGAAATATTTGATTTTGCATTCCTTAAGCATTAAAGTAAACAATCAGAGCCATCTAAAGGACAGTTTACTTCTGAAGGTGCCGCTGTTTCTTTTAGCAACAGAGTTCAGAAAGGCGGAGTTCATAAATATTTAAACAATAGCAATGTGTCCACTTTAGAAATGTGTTTGTTTTTAAGTGTGGAATACAGTCAATCTTAACCACATAGTATGAGATGGCGATTTAATCAATAATTTGAGTACGTTGAACAATGAATTCTTCACACTCAATGTAATTTCAAATTAAGTTAATAAAGAAAAATCACGGAAGGATAACGACAGAAATAGATGAGAATTCAACAAGATGATAATTTACTATTGTTGTTATTAATAATCATAATAAGTATTATTATTATTGCTGTTATTATTATTATTATATGGTGGAATGAATCGGGATGTATTTGAGCAATGGTCTAAAAACTGTGTTTGTGGCCTTTCGTGTTTATATTTTGAGTCACATAAATACATACTTGAGGGAGGAAAAAAGCAAAATAGGAAAATTGCACTTTTTATATGATGAAAGTAAACGATTGTAAAGGTCAAACAGGAGCTCCAAGTGAAGTGTGTGGAAAATGTTGTGTATAGACATGAACGCTAAGGTGTCGATTTTCGCTGCTGCACAAAGGTGAGCCGTTTCAAAACCGACAGCATGCACCGGTAAAATCATCCCTGACCATCCAAACAACACGATGCGCCGCTCCTTGGTCATTGCAGGTACGAGGGGTCTGGAGTTGTTCAAATCCTGCATGGATACAATCGTGCGCACCTTTCAGCCACCGTGGACTGCTTTATTCGCCCTCATTCCTAATATCCACCCTCGCAGAGTGCAAAGAATTGATCGACATTTGAGCACGATGTTATTGAAGTGGCTTAAAGGCGAAAATGAAATAGCCACCTGCAACGAAAAACACTTAAGTGTCCACATTTATGTTTGCTCTTGAAATCCCTTTTCAAAGATATTCATCAACAGATTGGCACTAGACTGAGGTCTTAACCTATAGATGTTGAAAAAAAAAACGCGAAAATGTAACTGCATCGATATGGAGGGCTGATCCTACAATATCGTGAATATGATCCACAATATTAGAGAAACGGTGCAGCACAATACAAACACAAAAATAAACAGTTAGTTCAATTCACAAAATGGGAAAATGTTTGTAATTAAGTAGAGATATTCAGGTTTGTGTGTGTGTGTGTATGTGTCACTGAGGTCATTAGAAAAAACGTGTGGGCCCGGTCCACGTTTGGGGGGGGGGCGGGGGGTCACCTTTTAAATGTTGAAATTCACGTTCCAGTTTTTTCCTCAATTCGACCTGCTCGAACAGTTGCTTCTGTAGTTCCTCTAAAAAGACACATAAATCCATGATGTGATGAGCTTGAAATTGAGTTTTACGCAAACGTCAAAACATGCACCACACAAATGTAGAATGTGACGAAATAGCATGTCCCTCTCTTAGTTTCTTAAAAAATTAATTGTGTGGATCACAACATTCATCGAAATACATAATATTCCCTCACTGCAAATTGCAGACCATTCTGGTAACACGAAGGTGTATTTTTTTTTCCTTTCAGTTTCTTTTTTGCCTCAAAGCTTTGAAAATATTTGAGTTCATGGCTCGATAAATAAAATAAAAGTTGTGCAAAATATGTTAAATTAACTGACTGAAACATCAGAAATAGCAATAACGGCTTTTAAAATCATCACAATCATTAAAAAAAATTTAAAATAACGGTGAATGCTAAAATAATAATCCGTGTATTAATTATTATCATACAATACATCTTTATTTTTATTGCGCTTTTGCAACAGCTGCAATATCATTATTTCAAGTATAAAATAATAAAAAGTCCTAATCCTACCTTTTGCAAGAGTCCGAATGCCTCTTTGTGCGTGCAAAGCTCTTGCTGACTCTTCGTCTGGAAAAACACACACACACACACACACACACTTTAATTTACCGCGGTGAAAAAAAAATGTATCTACACAAAAATGAAAACTCAATTTTTTTGCAAAAATCCTCCCGCTCTGCTCGCGTACCTTCATCCTGCTCTTGCTGGTTTTCGTCGCTGCTTTGTTCCAGTAAAGATTTGCTTTCCACCTCCTCCACCGTGGACGACGGCTCCTCTTTGCTTGTAGTCTCATCTTGCAGGAAAAACAAGGATTTGGATTTTTTTTTCGATTGATTGGTTGGTTGGTTCTGTTAAATTAATTGATTCGGTTGATGTCTGACCATGAATTGAAAGCTCCGCAGGTTGGTAGCTTGCAGGTCTGAAATGATAAGGACTGCTCCGAGGTTGCAACTCGCTCCTCTCTTGTGTGTAAACCTGCAAAAAAAAAAATGGGGGGAATACACACAATTAATTAAAAGTGTCGAAAACAAAGCTATTATTTAGTCGATTAATTACGCTAAACAATGTGATTTTTTTGGGGGGGGTGGATATAAAAGTCGTGTGATTGGGTCACTCACTTGGCTAAACGGTGCTAACTGTTTGCTCTGCACTTCTCGGTCGCAGGACTGCGGAGCGACGCGTGGGCCCACTTTCTGGGACTCGAGCAGATCTATTTCCTGCGGTGCCACCTTGCAGTCCGAGTCGCTCGGGGACACGCCGTGGGTGAGCCCCGGGGGGCTTCGAGGACCCATCAAGGACAGGGGTCTGCAAGGCTCCTCGTCCTCGGGTGTTTTACTGGTCTCCACGTCCACGTCCGCCTCGCCTTCGCTGTCCACGCACGGAGACACGGAGCGATAACTGGAGCTCTCGCTTAAAAAGTCGGGTGATAAGTAGCCGGTTCGAGTGTAGGCTCCTCTGCTGCCGTACAACTTGGCGATGCAGTCCGCGTCCTTCACCACGGGCCGGAAGGCGGACACGTAGCTGGCCTTGCGTGGGGCCAGGGTGGGCCCCTCGAGTGGCCTCGCCTCATCCCCGGACTTGTCGTCGTCGTTCCGCGTCGACTGGGTGCTGGAGCAGCGGTCGTTGTCGGCCAGGCTGTCTTTGGACGTGTCGGTGGACTCGGAAATGTCCACGTCGACGTGTCTGTGGAGAGGTAGCATCTCGGGTGGAGGTTTGTGTGGGCCCTGGGAGTAAGGAGGCATGGGGAGGGGGCCCGCAGCGGGCCAGAAGACCGGGAAGGACGGGTAGGCGCTGTCCTTGGTACCGGACCACAGGACTCCCGGGAGGCTCGCCTTGCTTGGCTCGCCCACGATGCTGTCGTCTTTTTTCGGGCAGAGTCCGAACGCCGGGAATCCGTACGGGTGCGGGAAGAGCGGCGGCGGGATTTTCTGTAGGATCCCGAAGCCTTTACTGGGCACCGGGATGACCGGGTAGCTGCGCGGGCCCACGCTCACCCGGTTGTCCTCGCAGTTGAGAATCTTGGCGGGGATCTCCGGGGACTGTCGGTGGAGGTTCGGACCGTGGGACTTCAGAGGCGAGCCGGACTCCGACCCGCAGCCTGGCAGCGTCCTCTTGCGGCTGCCCCCGTTGAACATGGCCTTCACGTCCTCCCACGCGTGTAACACATCCGTTTGGCTGTTTTTATCGGTTAATTTAAGGTGTCGCCTCCACGAGTTGAAATTAGCCGCGTCCGGCTGCGTGTACTTGGACTCCGGCGTGCGGTGCGAATGGAAGATGAATTTATTTGGGGAGAAATACATGTTGCAGTAGGAGCACTTGATGCACTTGGCCCTGGAGCTGTTGTACCTGGCCGGAATGAAGCTGCCACGGCTGCCCCACGCGCACTCGTGGCACACGTCGAAGGCGAAATTTTCTGGCAGTTTGGGAGGCGAGTGAGCCCCCAGAAAGGATTTGCAGAGTCTCTCGGCCTCACGTTTGGTGATCATGCCGCACCTCCGGGATGAGATGGGCATGGCGCCGGCCCTGCGGAGGATCTCCAGTTGGACTGGGGTGCACTGCACGCAGGTGATGCCCAGCGCCACGCGTCGGTTGTGGATCTCGTTGTAGCTGTAGTTCTTCAACAAGGTGTTGGAGATCTGAGCCAGGCACAGCCTCTCCTGGCAGTCTATGACCAGAGACACGATGGGTATTCCGTACAGCACCGTCTCGCCCACTTGGTTGGGCTTCAGGTTGTTGGACGGCGGGTAGGAAAGTTCTTGCTTGGAGCCCGGTGAAGAGCTGGAATCGCGGCCCGCTGGAATGGGTTCCATGTTGCTGGAGAGTGCAAGCTGCGGGATGATTATAGACGTTGAAGCACATTGGCTTTAAGCCGCTGTGATGACAGGCGCATGCTTTTCCTAATAAATACTAATTTTCCCTGAGAGTCATTTTTTACTGACTTTTTTTTTTGTTTGTTTGTTTTTTTTTCTTCAAAATTAAAGCACAAAAGGAAGTCCTGCGAAAACTCACCTATTCGGTGCTGGTGCAGCGCCTCTCTCGTCGTGCACCACACGGCCGCCGTCACACGCGTGTTCGGGGAAAAAAAGCGAGGAGTGTGTCGGATGCTGCTGGGGTGTTTGTTTTAGTGATGGGACTCCGTGCACCGCCTTCTTGCCTCCCTCACTCACTCCAGTCCACTCCACTCACTGCCTCCCTCCCACCGTCGTTGCATGTGTGCGCCTGGTTTGAGTTACAGCACGAGCGCGTTCAACTGCGAGAACGCGCACACACACACACACACACACGCGCGCACACACACACACACACACACACACACACACACACACACACACACACACACACACACACACGAATGAACGCGTAAGTGTGTTTGTGTATGTACCATTTTTTATTTTGCATTTACGAAACCCAAATTGGGATTTTATGCGAGTTCTCGGGTTCAGCAAAGAGCATTATTGCAGGGCCCCCGTCACGTGCCGCGTTCCCACGGAGTCACAGTGCGCGTGCACGCCCCCGCAGTGACAAGCAGCTGCTCTTAAGATCACAAGCTGAAAGAAAGCATGTAACTACCAAGAGACAATGGGAAACAGTGCAAACCGCGCTGTCCATTTAACAGCTTCAAGTAAATGGAAGCCGAGTTAATCGTTTATAATATTGATGAAGATAACAAGACTCGTCTCGTCGCTACGGGTGCTGCAGTGGGTCGGAGCTGTGCAACAAATGGCAAGAAGTCGATAAACATACGGTTGAATGCTCAAACAGGAACACATGTGAACATAACAAAACACAAGTAGTAAAAATAACAATATTAATAATGTGGGATAATATTTTTTTAATGTAAGTTTTAGTGCGATCATTATTATTTTACAGTTGAAATAAAATAAGTAATTGCTCTATTAAAAAAATTCTATATTCTTCCAATTTTTTGTGCATTCCCTGCATTCAAAAGTCAGCATTGTCACACAAATACAAAATAGCAGGTGTTGGCATAGCTTTCGCGCAGAGCAGTGAGATGAGCAAAGTCGGCAAGGTCATTATCTGGTTTGTTCTACCTTTTTTTTGTTGTTCTTGTTGTGCAAGAGAGAGCAGCTCTTTTCAAAGTGTGTCTGCATTAATCACAGTGTTGCATCAAAGTATGATAATCACCTGAACACTCTATTAAAATAAAAGTGGCGGCCCAGGGGAAATCTTACCTTACTCTTTAATTGTTTTGAGGCTTTGATAGGCTTTTTAAATCTAAGATTAATTTATGCACCCTTAAATAACTCTACATATGATTAATAAGCTTGAGACTGAAGCAATTATAACAAGTGGTTGGTCATCACCTCATTAGATAGTGTGAGAAAGATGCACTTTGGTAAGCGCGTGTTTGCCTGAGTGGAGAGCACAAAAATGAACAGCGGAAGGCGAGCAGAGATGACAATTACAGGGCTGCTGGCTAATAAATGTCCACGTGTGCGCTGTTGTCAAGTCGCTGCAATTTGAGCGATGGATGAGTTATTGCAGTTGACCTTTTGTCGTTTTTTTTTTTGCAGTCTCAATCCAAATGCATCAAGTGCTGACCAGGGGCGTCGCCAAAATTTTGATTGACACTGAACGTAAGAATATGTTTATAAAGTCAATGAAACCAAAGGACTGGCTTGTTGATGCCCAACAAGGTAAACACGACTACGAGCTGTACCGATGATTTATCTTTTAATATTATTTATTTTAATTAGCATTTATTTTAAGACTTCTACTCTATTCATTCATCTGTTCTGTGATGCCTTATGGTCTGTCTATTGTGCATTTGCATTGAAGCTTCTATTAACATCTGGCAAAGGGACGACAGCTGAAAGCTCGATTTTTGCTCATTTGAGTCTATTTAATTTTGCAAGAAATGATGATGACTGTACTTGATTCCTTTTTAGGCCATTGAAGAATCAAATCCTCTTTACTTAAGACAGACATTTCAGGGTTTGCATTCAGATCATTAGTAAATGTATGCAGTTAATATAAATGAATTGGGGCAGTGTATCAAGGGATCGAAGAACATTGGATCCATCTGAAAATGGCAGGCAAGTCGCAGGTATCAAAATCTTCCCCTAGATGTGCGGCTGACAAGAGAGTGACCATGGCCACCCATGTAGCTCCGCCCCTCGGTGTTGATTTGTGTGGGAAGCAACAAAAAAAAAAAAAACAGCAGCAGCTCTGAGGCGCCGGAGACTTGCTAAGTGTCTGTTAATGTGTAAACAAGACATCACTTCTCTGCTGCTCTCATGTTTGTTTGCCTTCTAAAAGCCCACCCATGGGTCCTGACCCCTCCCCCCGTCCCTGCAACACCCTCTGTTGCTAAACGGAATGCTTCTTCTCAGAAAGTGTGCGTCACACTTGTGCATGTGTGTGAACAAGAGAATGAGGCTGTGCGGTAAGGATGAGTGAAGGTGGGGGGGGGGTGATTTCATCACTGCATCAAATGAGGTTGAGCGCAGGGACCCCTTTGTCACAGAGTGGGACTCATCTGCCAGTGGTGAGCTGTGAGGTCCTGGGGGAGAGAGAGGAACAAAGGTGCTAAAAGGCTGTGTGACAATGAGGGGAACCTTCAAGTGTGGGACGCAGGCTGCACGGGACAAGCTGTGCCCATCACGCTGCAATTACTGTTTTGTGAAAGGCAGACGCCTCACGTGGGCTTTGGCGGAGACGTGCAAGGACACAGGCGGACGCGATCCAGGGCCTCATTTTTGTACGGCTGACCTGAACCTTATCGTGCCATGTAGATGCATAAATAACCTGGTGGCTTTACACATCACACTGTACAAAAATGCGTTATAATTTGAGAAACATAAATCTTGTGGACCATGACTTAAACCTGTCCATAGGACAACTAAAGTAAGGTTTATATGAAAAGTAATGCACAATGACTGCAATATTTAGGGCTACTTTGACTGATTTAATAGAATAAATATCCATCCACGCATTTTTTAATCCGCTTATCCTCACAAGGGTCGCGGGTGTGCTGGAGTCCGTCCCAGCAGTCTTCGGGCTGTAGGCAGGGTACACCCTGAACCGGTTGCCAGCCAAACGCAGGGCACACAGAGACGAATCCGGGCTCACACTCACACCAAGGGACAATTTAGAGTGTTCAATCAGCCTGCCATGCATGTTTTTGGAATGTGGAAGGAAACCGGAATACCCGGAGAAAACCCACGCAGGCCTGGGAGAGAACATGCAAACTCCATACAGTGGGACCGGAGCTGGAATTGAACCCTCTACCTCTGCACTGTGAGGTTGACGCGCTAACTACTGGACCACCGGGCGCCCTAGAATAAATAATTGATGGAAATAATTCATTTCAACCTTGATTGACTAACAAATAACCTTAAATTACCGTATTTTCCGCACTCTAAGGTTCCCCTAAAATCATTCAATTTTCTCAAAAGCCGACAGTGCGCCTTATAATCTGATGCACCTTCTACATGGATCGATATTCTGAGTTCTTGGACATAGTGTTTTAAATGTTCTGTAAAACGTTTTGTTTCAGCTGCAGCGGTTGTGAAAGCTCTATATAAATAAAGCTGTATTGTATTTCCTTTAGCATACCTCCATCTAGTGGATGCATAACGCAACCACAGCCACTGTTGTGGCTTCTATGCGCCTTATAATGCAGCGTGCCCTAAACGGGATATGAAAACAGTTTTAAAATAGGCCATTTATAGAAGGTGTGCCTTATACTCCGAAGCGCCTGAAAGTGCGGGAAAATACGTTACCGGTATATGGTGGATCTCCCTAATGGTGTCAATCAAAAGTGAGCATTACAGAATTATATTTCTTATGGAAAACTGAAAGCTGTTTTGAGCAGAATCGTTTTAGAATGTACAGGTGTGCCTGATGTTCTTACCAGTGATTGCAGTACATTTAGAATGGAAAATCAGTCTCAAGTTGAAAGATGAAATATCCACGGCCAGGACCAAGTTCGCTTTCCTTGAAGCCTAAATGAAATACAATGACAAAGCATGCAGAAAAAACTGAATTGAAATCTTAAAGTCATTGAAAAAAAAAGCACCCACACAAGATAAATTCTGTGGAAAAACAAAAGGCGGAAGTAAAAAGATTGCGCCTATTCTGAAACGTCACTCGAACCTCACAAGCTTTGAGGTTTGTGCATGCGTGGTCACTCGATGAGCAGAATAAACAAAGACACCGGAATTTGTCTATATCCAAGCCGAAGCGGCACGGGCACTGTAATGAGGAGTCAAGTGAGAAACGGGAATTATCGAAATGATAACAAAGGTCTGTGCGCCATATAGCTCGGGGCTATATTGTAGGGCATTACCATAAAGATGTGATGTGCTTGTATTGCAAGGGTTTTGGAGAGGGAGCAGCCCAAAGAGATAATAACTATTAGAAAGACGACAGTGCTTTGCGGGATTCCAGCTGTGGAGCCCAAATTTCCATACAGATGGAATGGCTCTGGGTGGATCATATGCATACATGGGGAGGGGGGGGCCCTGAAATGTGCGCCGTGTCTGGGCACTCGACCACTCAGGCTGGGGGGTCTGGAGGTGGCGAGTCTCAATGAGTTCTTGGTGTCCACCGTTGGATTTGAAGGTTGACGTGAGAGCCTCTGCTTTGAACAATCTGCAAGTCCGTGGAGAGGAAATCTCCGGAGCACTGACCTAACTTGCTGTCGCTTTGCTGACAGTTACCCTGAGCAGGAAGTGCTTGTGTGTCTGAATAGAGAACCACAGATTCACCAGGTGAGGGGAGTGGAGGCACTTAAAAACGTAGATTCCAGAAATGGAAATTGTACATGAAAAGAAAAAAAAAGGGCATAGGGAAAATAATAAAAAGAAGACTCCGGCCAGGTGCAACATTTACACTTTGTCCACCATATGTGAAGAAGCAGTGCCATGAAGCCGACACAGCAAAATGTGTGCGGGAATTTTGAGGTAAGGAAGTTTCTTTTTCTCTCCGATTATTTTGTGATGATGGCTTGCTTTGTTGTTGAACTCCAATTATTATCATGTTGATTATATGTCTGTTTAGCCAATTTCCATCCAGGTTGTTTGTGGTAATGTATTCATGATGACTTAGACCTACTACACGACTGTATTTCTGTGTTGACTGTAATGGTGGCACTCGGAGCATTTAATTTATTTATTTATTTTTTTTTTAAATTTTAGGTGGTACTTGGTGTAACAGGTTTGGGAAAGACTTGCTAAGCACCGAGGAATTGGCACGTTAAACATACATTTTTATCATGTTGAGACAATTTCCATCCAGGTTGTTTGTGGTAATGTATTCATGATGACTTAGACCTACTACACTACTGTATTTCTGTGTTGACCGTAATGGTGGCACTCGGAGCACTTAAAAAAAATAATAACAATAATTTTAGGTGGTACTTGGTGTAACAGATTTGGGAAAGACTTGCTAAGCACCGAGGAATTGGCAAAGAATAAGTAAGGGTTAAGTCATATTCACACAACCTTCAACGCTTACGTTCAGATGCTGAACCCGGTGTGTGTTATCACATCAAGAATTAATTCTTGTTTGTTGAATCTCCTGCAAAGTCGCAGCTTTTGTACCATTTTATTATTATAAATGTTCGGAGTTGTGTCTAAGTCCCGCACTCTGCCTAATGACACCAATTTAGTTGAAAACACAAAAAAGAAAAAAAAAACAGTATCTGAAATAATTGGCTTATTCTATCATGTAACATTTCACCCCAAGGTATGTTACAAAAGTTTGTGAAAGGAACTAAATCGGTGTTCCCTAAAGAACCTGCGCAAATGGGCACGAAAAAATTCAAGCACCGAAAAACAAACAAATATAAAAATGTGCAGTTCAGGGCCAACCAAAACGGAAGTTTATTTTCTTGGTACTGGATCTCATTTGTTTGTGCAGGTGTATGTACCCAATAATACTAATAATAGATATCACCGCATTGGATTGAAAACCTTCTATATTCAAATTGGGTAAAATTCAAATTTTTTTCACAAATCTAAATGATTGGTCAACATCCATCCATCCATCCATCCATCCATCCATTTTCTGAGCCGCTTTATCCTCACAAGGTCGCGGGGGGTGCTGGAGCCTATCCCAGCTGTCTTCGGGCAGTAGGCGGGGGACACCCTGAACCGGTTGCCAGGGCACACAAAGACGAACAACCATCCACGCTCACACTCACACCGAGGGACAATTTAGAGTGTTCAATCAACCTGCCATGCATGTTTTTGGAATGTGGGAGGAAACCGGACTACCAAGAGAAAATCCACGCAGGCACGGGGAGAACATGCAAACTCCACACAGGAAGGCCAGAGCTGGAATCAAACCTCTGTACTGTGAGGTCGACGAGCTAACCACTGGACCAGCGGGCCGCCCTGGTCAACATCATTTTCGTAAATTATTTTCCAACATTCAGTGTTGAAAATGGCTTATTCTCTTTGATAATGTAATGTTGATGGCTCAATAAACTTGCCATTTTGGAGGTTTCCTTAAAAGCGATGGTTTTGGAGATGTGAGGATTCTGCCCAATGCCTGCAATATCATCAATAAAACATGTTAAGTGTATTTTAAAGCGGTATCACTTGCTTACATATCAAATAATATCTCAAGGGTCAGCTCGGACTTAATCGTAAATGTCCTAAATTCGGCTGGTGAGATTGTACCATCCTGACCCAGAAAGGACGTGATGATATATCCAGGGCTAGGAAGGCAGGTGTGATGAGTTATCCATGAGAGAAGGTTAGGTTAATTATAGCAAGGGGTGGAGAAATTCAGTTTGCAATTATCTGCCCTTCATTAAAAATAAAATCCAATAGTAAAGAAAGCTGCAATTTGTGTGTCGACAAACGAGGCCCCCGGGGTTTGAACAGGCAAGAGGGAAGACATCCAGCGGCAGACGTGTTGTGTGCATTTATTGTAAGGTGTAAAGCTCACACAGCGGAGACAAAGATAGTGAGAGCAGGAAGCGTGAGGACACCAATCACTCCGTAATTATCCCCCCGATGTGCAAACTGCCCAACTCGCTGTCCTTGATAGATTCGCCTGACCCATTAACACAACACGGACCACAGTGGGCTGGAGGCAGGACGATAGAAGACGACTACGCCGTGCATCAGCTGAAGCAAGACCAAACATCTGGGCGGGGGGGCTGTGAAATGAAAGAACTGAGAAAGTGAACCAATCCTGTCATGGCCCTCCACGAATAGCCTGGCAGATTCACATATGAGGTGATTCAATTTCATTTGGAATTAAAGAAACATCCCTTGGCATCTCCCTGCGGCTCTTGCGCTCCTTACCTCAGCTTTTCAAGACGCTCTTTTACTTTAGAGTGATGTATTAAGCCATTTAAATTAACAATGGAATGACTTATTCCAATACAGTATATGGCCATGTCGTTTTCTCAAATGCTTTACGGAGTGGGACGCGAGCTTAGCATGCGGCAACCTGAGGCTGGGCCAGCGAGGCGTGCAGTGGGTCCAAATATGGCAGGCATTCATATAAGGTCATTACAATGGCGAGAGGGGCAAATAAAATGAGCCTCGCCAGTGGCTGGGCTACTGCCCGAGGTCAAAATATGTCATTCCATTGGGGAACCAGTAAATATTGTACACTGAAGCCCAATAAACAACAAACACAAAACAGAACTAAACAACTTCAAGAGTATCTACCAGGCAGGTGTGTCTCTAATGAGACTTGGGGTAACAATTAGTGTAGCTTTCAACTAATTTCCAACACCAAAAGGAAACAAAACTCAACTCAACTGTATTTATAGAGTATTTAAAAAAAACCTCTGCTGTATACAAAGTGGTGTACATGGAGCAAAAAATAATTCATGCAACAACAAACCATAAAGCAATAAATTAATAACGAAGAGAGTAGATACCAAGTTCGAGACTGGTGGCTTAAGATAAGGAGCCAGGAGGCCGAAGTCTGCAGGATGGCATGTACAAGGACCACTGGGACCAAACACCACCACTTCGGTTTTCTTTTCATTGAAATTCAAGAAATTCAATGGCATCCAGTTCTTGACTTCCTCTGGACAGGATAAAAGGTGCCTCAATGAGAAAGCGTCTTTTTTTTGCTCAGCGGTACATAGATCTGACAGTCAGCCACAGAGCAGTGGAAGGAAATACCATGTTTCCTGAAGATGGAACCCAAAGAGAGCATATACAATGAAAAGAGCAGAGGCCCCGGAATTGAACCCTGTGGAACACCACACGACAGTGGGGCAGTTCGTGACTCTGCACCAAGGCAAACACTCAAGGTTCTGTCAGCCAAGTTGCACAGAAAGGAACGCTTCTCGGTCGACCACTCGACAGAGAGCAACCATCATTTCAACTCAATAACATAAATAAATGAACATAACATAAATATATTGCATGGTTGGTTGTCTGTCCATAGGTTAGTTTGCAGGTGATGTTCTGGCGTATGGAGAAAGACGTTCCATGTTCAGAGTAGACAAACTGGACTGTACCATATGTCTTCTGGAGCCGTGGCAATGGTTCAATTGTGCCTACAGTGACCAATTTAAAAAAAAAAAAAAAAACAATCCTCTCAAGTACCATACTTTTGTGTCCATGTTCATATCATAGACAGCTTCCAAGATTAAATTACAGTATTTGTATGGTGGGGTGGCTTGCAGTTTCCTCTTGGAAATAGCAACATTTAGGGTCGTTGCTCAGCCCCACCAAATCCTGGCAAGCAACAAAACAAACAGCCGGCGATGAAAACAATAGCTTTCCGCTTGGCGGAAGTACAAAGTGGCTTTGTTTGGAGCTCTAGGCCTTGTTATGAACTTCAGCGGTTGCTTGTAAATCTCATATTAGCGCCCCTCATGCGCTCTGTGTGTGATGCGGAGCGCTAAATCATTCGCACGGAGGCCCTTGGTCAGCTGAATACAAATGAGGATACAGTGGGTGCTCCGTCGGTCCTTCGGGGGGTGTACGGGAATAGATGTGAGAAAAGCACAGTTTGATTGATGCCGCTACACT